CTGTTATAACAAAAACATCAATGTATATGAATTAATAAATTAAATTTATAAAATAAATACATTTATTAAAATAAATCCCATTATATACTCCAGAGCTCTAGTGCGATAAGGTGCATGTTTGTAATTATTACTTTTAAAACCTGACACTTAATAAGCTGGAAGGTAAACGGAAGATAAACTAGCAGCCTCAAACTAGTGAAAAAGAAAACCCAGCACCTCCCTGGCAATCCGGGCGCAGTTTCTCTCCTGGCACCAGCTGGGTGCGGTTCCCGCAGGCAGGTTCCCACGGCAGCCACGCGCAGCCGGTCGCTGACGGCAGACGCACGACGGTGGCCACGCCTTACCTCATTGCCTATTTGTTTTCATGTATTAGAAAAATATACTGGTACATCATTTGAGATGCCAGGTAGTGATCGTGAACAGTTAGTTTAGAAAATACTAATTTAAGCAAAATGATTAAGGATTAGAAAGGACAATCGTCTAAGACGAAAATGGCAGCACTGGAACTGGAGTGACAGGAGGCCCTGGGAGCCAGAGGCACCTCCAGGCCACGCTGCCTGCTGTGGCCTCTTTGCCACCTCCCGCATGCAGCCGTGTCTGTCCTCGCCCCCCTTATGCAGTCTCCAGGGGAGTCCCTCACCTCTTTTCAGGCCCAGCGGGTGAGGGAGGGGCAGTTTCCATGCCATGCCCTGCCGGAGCCCCAGACCTAGTGGGTGGAGGGTCTGGACCCGAAGCAAGCTCACAGGCCCTGCCCTGGCGGACACCTAAGCACTCAAGATAAAGCTGAATTTCAAAGGACCATTAACAGCCGGTCTGGGTGACGCCGTGGAGCAATGGAAATACTGGCCGTGTCTTGGGAATGCACCTCCATGCAAGGGCTTGGGGTAAACACTGCCGCAGCTTCTTCTAAAGTTAAGTTCACGTGCAGACAGCCACGCACTTTCCCTGCTGTTATTCTCCCGAGAGAGGAAAGCTCGTATCCACGCGCACTTGTGCTCAAGCGCTCACAACCACTTTTTTCCCCACTCAGTGTCTCAGATCACCCAGGTGCCCATGACCGCTGGATGGATGAATTCCGGTGTGAACCTCAAAACAGAAGACTCATCCCACGCGCAAGACCATATTCCATTTCTATGAAATTGTAGAAAAGGCAACATTATAGTCTCAGAAAAGCAGATCATAAAACTGTAACAATATTACCTATAAAAATAGCCAACCTATAAAGGTAATAGCCTACCTTTTCCAGCACTGCAGAAAAGAGATTGCCCGTCTATGGCTGGGATAATGAATTAGTGGCCAATTGGAAGGACAACTTAAATTTGCTATCAGCGACCTAAAAATGTCTGTCTGAAACAGTGACTCTTCTCCAGGCATTTATCCTAAGACTATAGTTAACAATCTGCTCAAGCAAGTTTATGTGAACAAAAAATTTAATAATACCTACCAATGTCCAAAACAGAGCATTATTAAATGAGTGCTGGTGAATTCACAACATGGAATCGTGACGTAAAGTGTTGCAAACATTTATAAAAATTGATTATGAATTGACTACAAAGAAAATGTTATTAATAAAACATAAAGTAAATAAGACCACTTTGAAAATTTATAGAAAAGTAGAAATAAGTAATAAAAACAGAAACAATGCTATTATATGCCTATTTTTTATAAACTTGCTCCTCCACAAGGTAGAAATAAAAATTGCAATTCAAGGTGTTAAGTGACAGTTTACAAGAGACTGTGTAAAAGCTGTGGGATCTGACTAAAGCTATATTGAGAGGAAAATTCCCAGCCTTAAACATATTCATTATTTGCCACAAATAATGAAGGAAATACAATTTTTGTTTCAGAAAATCAGCAGAAAAGCAAGAGAAGTGTAAAGACAACAATAGAATAGTGGTAAACCCAGAAGTTAATGTAAATAACCTAGAAGATATGGAGAGAGAAGAGAACAAAATAGAAATCCCTCGTTCAAGGAACCCTGAGTTCTCGCGGTCACTCTGAACTTGGGAACTGGGAGGTGACCCCGCGTCCATCCACAGGGCAGCACCTTTCTGTCTTAAGCAGCTTGAATTGGTTTTCAATATGTGAAAGGTCTTACTGATTTTGGAGCCGCAATACCAGGTTCAGAGCACAGGGTATAAGACTGTAAATAGTTTACTACAAAATCTTCCCTCGTCAGCAAAAAATCTACATAAATTTAAAAACCTACAAATAGAGTTGAAATGCAAACAACAAAATGGAGATATATAATTATAGAATGAGGATATGTACAATGATTATAATTGCCTGCAAAATGTGGGTTCACAAATATCCTTATGGGCAAGAAGAATGCACACATTAAGAGCCCCTCTTTGTGATAGACGGATGACAGCACTGTAAACAGAAAGCCAGTGAAAATAAAAACACCAAAGAATAATAAACGCATTAAAATGCTAACCCTCACTGATTTCAAGAAAACAATGCCAATGTACAATCACTTCTTTGGCAGCTTGTGCAAGATGGAAAGTGTTAACAGTGCTGTGGAGAAAATAAGGACTCTCAATTGTCCAAACTGGGCCTCCCTGGGGGCCTAGGGGCTGAATCTCAGCACTTCCCCCTTAACGGCCTGAGTTCAATCCCCGGCCAGGGAGCTAAACACGGGGGACAGCAGACCTCTCCTGTCTCCCCGGTGCTCCCCTCAGCAGTGTGTTTCAGTCAGTCTGCCTGTTCTGTTCCCCGCTCTGTCTCTGGTGAATCCTCTCACCCTCCCGCGCATCTGGCCTGTACCCTGGTTCTTATATAAAATAAATAAATAAATCTTTAAAAAAAAAAAATTTGGCTTCCAATATCCTAAACCTTCTCAAGAGTTTTCCTTGTTTCCATTCTACCACTGAACCCTAGTTCATCAACAATTTACTCCTCTACCGGCTCTCCTACCTTTACCACTCCACATCGCTGGCAGAATGGTCTTTAAAAAAACAACGAGGGCCTCCCTGGTGGCGCAGGGATTAAGCAACGCACTATGAGGCAACCCGCAGCCTCTGCAGCACGAGTCCAATCCCCCGCCCGCCAGGAAGCAACCCACATGGCACAGCAGATCTCTCAGGTCTCGCCCGCTGCTCCCCTCAGCAGTGTATTTCATTCAGTCTGCCTGTTCTGCTCCCCACTCTGGCTCTGGAGAATCCTCTCACCCCCCACACCTCTGGTCTATATCCCCAGGTCTTCTACACAAAAATAAACCAAAAATAGATGAACTTTTAAAATAAATAAATGGTCCAAACTGTCTGTGTGCACAATTGTTGATTCACAATTCTGCTTTCAAGAATTTATCCCGAAGAAACACCTGCAAAGGAGAGCCAACTGCACACACACGGAACGGCATGGCACGCGGGCTGGCGCAGGGGGCAGTGGGGGAGTCAAGGCACATTAAATGAGTGATGGCCACTTTGTGTGACGGTAAACCTGCCTCATGGCCATCCAAGGAGGCCTGTGGCAAACCTGAGGTTTGTAAGAACAGATTATGAAGAAGAACGTGAAGCAAAACTTGATTTTCATGTAAACGTGTCCATGAGCCAAAGATACGGGCATAAAAGTGTTTGTTGGAGTAAGAGCAGAATTACTCCTTCTAGGATAAATTTTTAGTTTTATTTGCTTTTTTTTTATTTTTGTAGTTCCCTTTGATATTTTTTTGCAGTTATCATATATATTTCTTACATGCTGGCACAAAATTATTTTCACACTGGCAAGTGGCCAAAAGGAAAAAAACTCCTGAAATTCTGTTCCACATTTCAGAAAAGCAGCAACAGTAGAAAAGCTTCAATGGGGGAAACGTGATTTCCCAGTAACACGCAATGTTGTGCAGACACGGAGGCGCACACGGAGGCGCACATGTTCGCTGGTGAGGGCCGCGGGCCAGACGACGGGACCTTTTCTAAGAAGCCCCCGTGCAACGCGCAGCCACAGCTTCGGTAAATTCAGTGATTTGACTTTCAGGAATCTGAGCCAGGAAATGCGCAGAGACACGAAGGACATAAAGGACTTTCACATATTGTCCTTTCTCGATTTTAATTCGGAACTCAGAACACCCTGCACGTCCATGGCGGCGGCGCAGCCCTGCACGGCTGTCCAGCGGCCCACTCGGCCAGGTTCTGCCAGTGTCTGCTCTGGGCCACGCTCTGCGGAGGCCCCGGGCTGTGCCGATGGGACGGTCTCGCCGTCGCTCTGCAAGCGGACGGCCCGCTCCCAAGAGAGTCTGGAGCCGGCCGGGAGCAGCAGGGGAGTGGAAGGGAGACTCAGGACCACCTCGTGACAAGACGAGGAACGTTGTAAACAGAGGAACACCAGCAGCCGTGGCTATTTTGCTATCATCTCCGGGACGAGAGGGGAGCTTCTCTGGGGCCAGAAACGAGTTTCTCCACCACTAGCCACCAACAGAGGGTGGGTAAGGGGGAGACACCTGCAGCTCCGCTGCTCAGAAGCCCCCTGCAGCCCTCCAGGGAAGTAAGATGCGCCTCCAAGGACGGATGTCAACAGTGCGGGAACACGAGGGCCCGAAAGGTGCACCTTGCCCGCCAGGACATGCAGCTCTTCTCTTTCATGGCACACACCGTTTTTCAAAGGCATCCCCTCCCTGGAATCCCCTCTCGAAATAGTCGTTAGAGTCACGTCCTTGGCCAGGACAGCACCCCTTGAGGTGCCGGGACTGCCGTTGGCTGCTAGAGACAGCAGCAGCCTCGTGGGCCCCACCTCCTCTGCTCTCTCATTACTTAGGAATCCGAGTCCCAGGCTGACCTGCTAGGCTCCGCTCGCTCCAGGACACTTGACATCGATGAGTTATAAATTAATCGTGCGATTGAGGAGTCCTTGGGAAGCCAGGCCCAAGGTTCCCGCTGGTGAGCTGTAACCATAGCAACCCCTTCCTCCGGCCCAAAGTTCAGCTGCTGTAAATCTTTATGACCACGGTTCAACGTTCAATGGTCTAGCCCTTTCTGTGAAGCGTGAGGTTTTATATTTTACGACAAAGCAGCAGACTCTTATTTCCAATCATTGGGCTCCAAATGATAAGGTCTAAAACGACTACAAGGAAATCGCTGTTGTTTCTGCTCCCCGGGACACGAATTTTCTGAGAAGATGCCTACGACGAGGAAAACGTTGATGTTTTTATCAAGCTTTGCCTTGAGCCTCGCCTCTCTCGTTATGATTTGCTATGTGCTGGGGACTCAGGGGTGGGTGCGCAGCACCGTCTCCGTCAGCGACCACTCCTCAAACGGCAGCATTATCGTCACCTACGGACTCTTCGGCGGCCTCAGCAACCAGCAACTGAGTCACGGAATTGGACAAGACGACAAGGAATTTAAAGGTAAATGATAAACTGATTTGACATCGAATTAGCTGGGTGAGACTTATGGCATCTCCTGTTCGGACCACAGGCCCATTCAGAGTAGGTTTCTTGTAGGTTTCAGGCTGGTTGTAGATGGGAGAAGACAGTATAATTTTGAAAATCCCTTATTTGCGCTTCTTCGGTTCATGTGGCTATTTCCACAACAGTCTAGATCATTCTAGCAGAGGCTGTGTTCCATGCCAACCTACTAAGCTTAGTGACGAGTAAATAATTAAGTAAAAGTGTGCACCCGCCATCCGTGGCAATGGTCGGCAGGAGCAGCGCTTTTCACCGTATTGACCGTGGAATTCTGCTTGGAGGCACAGCCTCTGCTCAGAACCTCATTCATGGCAGCATAAACGCAGAAAATAAAATTAATTTCCTATTCTTATATCTCAGGTTCATTTCTCTAGCTGACTTAACAGTGCACTCTTACCTCCAAGAGAGCTGATTGTTGTTGGGCATGATATTAAATTTCTATTAATTCTATTAATTGTCTGTTAATATTTTTTTCTCTTTTCTTGGATAAGAGCACCCTAGTTTCAAAAGGTGGCAAGTGTGAATTCACTGAGGACGCTCAGTTGAATATAGCTACTTATCTGAATTTTGAAGTTTCAGTAGATGCCATTATGTTTTATGCCATTGATTTAAAAGCAACGTTTACAGATTATTTAGAACCATAAATGATCGTATTCTGTAAAGGGCATCACACAGCGGCGTTACCCTGGCCAGGTGCGTCGCGACCTCTCTGCACTCCCGTGTTCGGGCCTCCTGCCTCACGGCTGGGCCTGGGGCACGAGCTCTGGGTTGGAGCGCCAGCGTTACCAGTGACATGATTTCCTTCCACCCAGACCAATACGGCTCGAGTCACGTTACCTGTGTTGTTGGAACATTAGCAAGAGAACCTGTCTCCTGGGGACGCAGGGCAGCCGCACGCCCTCAGGGCTCAGCCTCTGCTCCTCAGAGAAACGTGCAGTCAGTCCGCGCCTCGCAGCAGCTAGGAACTGAGATGCTCGGAGAGTCAGTCCTGCTGGTAGTTATGTGGATCGCATGTTCGGGACGGGCAAGCGCACTGCTTTTCCAGACACATTTGAACGTTTGAAATATGAGCGAGCCAAACCCTGGGAAGTGCTGGGCTTTCCTACCGTGTCTGTTTGAAGCCAGTGGGTTCCAACTTGAGGTCAACAGCTTCAAGAAGAGCCTCCACTCCCCGCACCCAGGGGAGCCCAGGGGGTGGCACGGGCAGCCTCTGCTGCCCTGTGCGGTATGAGGCGGGAAGCGGTGGTGGTGAGAGCTCCAGTGGGCCACAGCCCAGCCCAGGTGCCCACAGAGGCCCCGCAGCCCCCAGGGAGCAGGGGGGAGGGGGACACTTCCGCTGCTTTGTGACTCTACTTGTTCTTTGTCACTCGGGAGCCACCTCCCCACGTCACTACCAGCCTCCAGGTGCTCCGAGGATAAATGCCACCCAGTCAGAGAGGGGTCTCCAGGGCTCTGTGCACATCTGCTGGGCACCCGCCGGGCCCGGGGTGGTTTCAGGGATGGTTTCACAGGGAACATCTGTCAACGCCTCTCTGGGGGGGAAACGTCACGTTATTAGAACACATCCCGTGGGGCCTGGCCACTGCAGATCCACAGATACAGAGTCACAAGCCCACAGTGTGATCCCACCGCTGTCCCACGGGGCCTGGCGGCATGCGGGGCCAACCTCCTCCAGGGAGCGGCACGGGCAGCACTACATGATCTGTTTATTTTATTTTTTATTTTTTATTTTTTTTTAAGATTTATTTATTTATACAAGCACTGGGTACAGTCAGAAGTGTGGGAGGGTGAGAGAATCCACCAGAGCCAGAGCGGGGAGCAGAGCAGGCAGAAGGACCGAAGTACACTGCTGAGGGGAGCAGCGGGCGGCAGGAGAGGTCTGCGCGCCATGTGGGACCCTCCTTCGGTGGCCGGAGAGCAGCTGGGGATTGAACCGGCGCTGCGGAGGCTGCGGACAGCTTCGCAACCCAGCGCTCAACCGCTGCGCCACCGGGGAGGCCCCTACATGATCTGTTTAAATGCCACCACCCTGCCCAGCAGTGACAACTGGCTTTTCCATTTGAGAGAAGAACCATGTTGGCTTTGGCTGGGAGTGAGGCCCCACTGAAAATTTCCTGAATGATGAATATGGCAAAGTTGTGCTGTTTGGCAGAGAGTGACCACATGGCGCCAATTTGGACTGGAGATTTTGAATGGAAGATCAGAATGAAAAGATGATGGCTGATTTCAAAGTGCCAAGAGAATTCAGCCAACAATCGATCAACTGATGAGAGAAACAAGCAGCTGGCCCTGGTAAGGAAATCTCCAGCATGCAACTAATAACCTCAGCACCTCAGACTGACCAAGAACCTGCTGGTCTCACCCACAGACCCCTGGGTTTGTCCAGCATCCAGATGAAAAGTCATTTGCTTCCGCTGGTTGGCACTTTGCTAGGCCACAAGTTCTGGATATTTAACTTTCCATTCAAATATCCTTTCCTGAGCCCCTGGCATGTGCACGAGGGGCTTGGACGATGAGCAGAATTGCCCGGGCTACTGTGCTTGGTGGACCCCCCAGCCAGCCTTTCCAGAGGAAGGCCACCATCGTTAAAGCTGACACCCTGCACTAGTTTGGGGCAGAGATGTGTGGCGGTCACTGTGGGAACCAGGGAGGCCATGTCAGCAGGAGACAGTTCCTGAAAAATGAGGTGGCAGAGCACACTGATTCATGTTCTTGGCATAATTCACCTTCTTTGCTTTGGATCTTGGATGCAGTGTAAACAGGGACCTCGAAGTGAAGATCCTCCTTTATTTAACTTTATTTTTTTGAAAGTGAAATCAGAGTCCAAAGAGCATAATATGGCCTTCCTTGCACTAGTAGCCAACACGTGACTAGTAGCCAACACGTCACTCCTACCGGGACTGGGCTTCGTGAATGGCATCTCAAGTATTACTCAGCCTACATGCTGACCACAACAGAGAGTGTCACAGAATCGGCTCGGCAGGGGAAGTTGTAATTAGGATATTTCTGTGCATATGCCATGGGGCCTTTTTGTTCTGGCTCTTAGAACATGGGGTTTGTAGGAAGAGGAACTCTCAGCAGTTATATCTCAGCAGAATTTCTTCAGTGCTGGCAAGAACATGCTGGACCCTCCCCAGACAGACCAGCTGAATTCAAATCTCAGGTGCAGGGACTGACCTGCCGAGTTAAAGCATCCTCCCGGGGTAAGTGATTCTAACTCACCCTCAAGAGCACCAGCATCCGCCACGCAGGGACTAGACTGACAGGGAGATGTGCTATATTGGGAACCATTTTTACATCCCTTGGATGTGGCCTGCTTGAAGATGGATTAATCTCTTGGAGAACTCTCTGGACGTGAATGAAGACCAGCTGGTCTGGTCTCATTCTGGACCAGAATGAGAGAAAGCCCCAGCCCACCGACCTTTGAGTTAACGATCATCTACCTGCCATGGAGAATTTCACCCCAGTCCAGCTTCGCCCCCACTCTGCCCACCCATCTCTTTGCCACCTGCCTCTGTTGTTCTCAGGGAACTCACAATTGTACTATTAGTGCAAGCTAAAAATAACTTGGAAGCGAATCTCCTGCAAAATCAATTAATTGCAAAGAAGAGAATAAATGTTGCTTATTTCTCCAGAACTTACAAATAGCCCCTTCCTTACTACTTCCACCCGCCCCCACCTCACACTTATCTCGCATGGAGCACTTTCCCAGGGACCGAGCTTCTCATTAGCCCCTGACACATGACCAGGCTGGAAGGCGGGCGGAGCACAGGGAGCTAAAAGGTATCCATGCCCCACCCCTCTCCCCAGGCCCCCGGCCGGATTGCCCAGAGGCCGGGACTTCAGCTCCACTTCCTGGGAGAGGCCCAGGCCACTCACCAACCTCACAGACTCACCACGCTCTGCAGGGGCTGCTGTGGTCAACAGGTTGAGGACTGCCCTGGGTCAGGCTCCACGCGACTAGAGAGGGTAGGAAGTTCCCCCCCAACACACCCACCACGTCTCTGGCTGTCCCTCCATTCCGAGGACTTTCAGAACCAGAACAAGAAGGGAGCGGTGGGGTGTGGAGGATTAAATCTCCATACAGAGCACACAGAGGCCCTTTCTGCACACTGCCCACAGCCACCCCCAAACGCTCCTGCTTCCCAGCTGTGGGCTTCACTGGTCTCCTAACTGGGGCTGCCAGGATCCAGGCAATCAGTTCTAATTGTGATGTGGCTTTCCTGATTCTGATGCTTGGCCCCTAAAAGGAAGAAAAAAGAACACAGTGTATTTGCTAATTTTGCAGGCAGAGAGCAGCTGTCAGATGCGTGGGGCTTATTGTTCTTTCATCCTGGGAACTTTTCTGAGTTCCCATACCCATCGCCTGAGTTCTGAGCCAGGAGGGTGGCTGCGGGAGGCGGCTGCTGCACCTGTGAGGCAAGGGATTCAGGATGCTGAAATACGGTGTTTAAATATGGCAGTGGAAATGGAGATACATGGTCACTTAATGTACACGTCAGCACGAGCCAACAGGCTCCAACTGACTCCCTTCTGGAATATCAAGTCTAGTCAGTCTTAGAGCAAGATGAAGGTGAAGCTCAACTTGATTCACTTTCTAAGTCACCCTGAAAAAGTGGAAGACTAGTCACTTACGAATAAACATCCCTCTATGTCTTCAGGTGTATAGACACAGAAATTCCCCAGGGCTCGTCAGGTGCCTTAGACACAGGTTTTCTCACATGCAAATTTCTATTTTCTTCAATTCTTCAATTCTTTCTTAAATTGCAGTAACACTGCTTTCCAACACTGTATGTGACTCAGAGATTTAGCTTCTCACCCAGCAGGTGTATGTCGACCCCACCACACCACCGCCAGGGCACCTACAGTCTCCACCACAGTCCCTGGGCCCACTTCATACTTTGCTCTCTCCTCCTGTCCCCCATCAGGCAGCCTCAATTCTACAGACTTCGGGGGTTTATTATTGGTTTGGGTTTGTCTGACACTTTGTTTTCTTTCTCTATATTGCCCACAAAAGTGAAAGCACCAGGTATTTTTCTCTTTTTCCTTTTGACTTATTTCACTTAGCACCATCCCCTCCAGTTCCATCCATGTTGTCTCAAATGGCAAGAGTTGGTCCGCTCCTTTTTCGGAATTGAGTCGTATTCCATTAAGTATACCGCATCTTAATCCCCTCATGGGTCCTTGGAGTGGAGTCGATAGATCATATGGCAGATCTACTTTTACTATTTTGAGAACCTCCAGGCTGTGTTCCACGGGGACTGCACTCCCTCCAATGGTGCACTGGAGATCCTTTTCCTGCACATCCTCAGCACACTTATGGTCTCTGGTATTTTTGATATGGGTTATTCTGAAAGATGTGGTTTTGATTTGTATTTCCCTGATGTTAAGTGGTGATGAACATTTTTTCTCCTGTGTACTTATTGGCCATCTGTGTGTCTTCTTTGGAGGAGTGTCTATTTAGGTCTTCTGCCAGTGTTTAGATTGGGTTATTTGTTTTCTTTTTGTTGAGTTTTATGAGTTCTTTATAGATCTTGGATATTAGCCCCTTGTAAGATATATGGTGAGCAAATATTTTCTCCCTTTCAGCAGGGTGTTGTTTTGTTTTAATGATAGTTTCTTTCACTATGCAGAAGCTTTTAAGCTTCTTGTTTCTCTTGCTATTGGAGATAAATCTACAGACATCTTTGAAACCAATGTCAAAGTGAAGTGTTTTGCCTGTGTTTTCTTTTTTTTTTTTTTTTTTTTTTTTAATAGAGGCATGTTTTTCTTTATTTATTTGTTTGCTTGTTTGTTTGTTTTGTTTATACATGCACTGGGTACAGTCAGAAGCGCGGGAGGGTGAGAGAATTCACCAGAGCCAGAGCGGGGAGCAGAGCAGGCAGAAGGACCGAAGTACACTGCTGAGGGGAGCAGCGGGCGGCAGGAGAGGTCTGCGCGCCATGTGGGACCCTCCTCTGGTGGCCGGGGAGCAGCCGGGGATCGAACTGGCGCTGCAGAGGCTGCGACAGCTTCGCAACCCAGCGCTCTACCGCTGCGCCACCGGGGAGGCCCCTTGCCTGTGTTTTCTTCTGCATATTTTCTTCTGCATATTCAGGTCTTACATTCAAGTCTTTAATCCATTTTGATTTAATGTTTATGTATGGTGTGAAAGAGTGGTCTAGTTTCATTCTTTTGCACGCGATTTTCCGGTTTTTCCAACATCATTTGTTGCAGATACTTTCCTTTCTCCAATGAAAACACTTGGCTCCTTTGTCACGTTCATATAAGTGTTCATATAAGTGTGGGTTTAATTCTGGTCTCTCTATTCTATTCCATTGGTCTGTGTGTCATGCTATACTGCTTTGATTACTATAGTTTTGTAGTATAATTTGAAGTATGGGAGTGTGATACCACCATTCTTTGTTGTCAGGATTGCTTCGGCTATTCACAGTCTTATAGTTCCACTATGAATTTCAGTAGTGTTTGTTCTATTTCTTCAAGGAATGTCATTGAAACTTTGATAGAGATTGTACTGAACCTATATATTGCTTTGGGTAAGATAATCATTTTAATAATGTTAATTTTTCTAACCACGAGCAGGGAATATCTTTCCATTTTTTTGGTGTGTGTCTTCTATTTCTTTTAACAACATCTTATTTTTGATGTTGTATAGGTCCTTTACCTCCTTTATTAAGATTACTTCTAGGTATTTAATTCTTTTATATATATACATATAATATATACATACATATATACAAACATACACACACACATATACATGTCATCCTGATTATTATTTCCTTAATCATAATGCCCATCACTGCCTCTTTTTAGTTGGAAGTTTACTTTATCTGACAAGAGTATGGCCGTCCATACAAGAGTATGGCCCCATTTGCTTGTATGATTGTTTTCCTGTCATTTACTATGAGTCTATTTTTATCTTTGGAGCTTAGCTGGGTCTTCTGGGGACACACAAAAGTGGGGCTTTGTTTTTTGATCCAATGAGTCACTCTGTGCTGGTGAGAGCGAATTTAGTCCATTTACATTTAGGGTGATTATTGATATATGAGGATCTGATACTGACTTTTTTTTTTTTTACTTTTCTGGTTGTATTTCCTTGTTCAGCTTTTTTTTTGTGGATGTTATTCTTTCCAATTAGTAGCTTTCTGCACTTCTTGTAGGAGAAGTTTAGTGTTTGCAAGTTCCTTCAACTTCTGTTTGTCTGGGAAGGCCTTTATTTCTCCCTCATATCTGAAGGAAAGTCTTGCAAGTATTATTGGCTGCCACTCTTTAAGTATTTTGAATATTCTCTCCTTGTTTGTCAGGTTTCCTTGGAGAAGTCAGATGTGAGCCTGTACTTTTATAGGCTCTCTGCTTTTTCCCCTCGCCACCTTCAGTATTATTTCTTTGTCTTGAACTCTCAGAAGTTTCTCAACTATGTGCCTTGATGTAAGTCACATTACATTTTTTTTGATAACCAGATTTCAGCTGCACAGATTTGTATATTTAGTTCCTCCCCCAGGTTTGGGAAGTTTCATTCAATTATTTCTTTGAAAAAGTTCTCTGCTCCATGTTCTCTCTGTCCCCTTGCTAGAAAACCCATTATTCTTATATTGCCTGTCCTAATTGAGTTAGGTAATTCTCAAAGTGGTTTTTTTTTTTTTTTTTTCATTTTTTTATTTGTGTTTTTCTTTCTTCTCCCACCTGGATTCTTTGTGCCTTACTGTCTCTAAGGTGACTGATTTAATTTTCCATTGGTTTGTTTTGCTTCCATAGCTTTCTCCAGAATTTTTTATTTCCTTTAGTGATCTTTTTACATCCTGTATCTCTGTTATTTTCTTATTTGAAGCTTCCATTTCTAGCTTCTGTGAATTAACTTTATTTCTAATGATATTCATTTGCTTTCCAGAGTTTTAAAAAATACATTGGAGGACTTTGTGTTTTCTTCCATTTCTGTGAGTTTCTTTACCACGGAAATTTTGAAGCCTGTAGCTAATCGGAAAAGATCTTCCATATCTTTGTGTTTGCGCTTTGGAAAGTTGTTCTCTCCTTGTGGTGACATGTTTCCTTGAGGGCTCCAGGTGCCATAGGTTGTATTTTTCCGTCTAAAAACATGAAATGCTTCATGGATTTGCATGTCACTGTTGCACGAGGGCCATGCTAACCTTCTCTATATTGTTCCAATTTTAGCATAGGAGCTACCAAAACAACCATTTCAAATTATTTCTAATTGGCTCAGGCCAGAGTGCAACGAACTTCTGACGAGATGCCCGAGTTTCCCTCGCGGTGCTCAGGAGCAGCAGGGTGTGTGTGGGCGGGAAGCAGTTCCGCAGGCGGTGACTAAATGTGCAAATATCTGTGGCATCCAACCCTGTCCTGCCGAACAGGTGTGGCTCACTTTCTGTTGTTCTCTTCCTTCCTCCCTGACCTCACCTTCCACTGTTTTCAGAACAGGTATGCGCTAAAGGGGAGCAGCCTGGGCCCCTATCTGCTGCATCACCACCAAGTGCTGGAGAAGGGACAAGAGACTGGACCAAGGCCAGGACCTTCAGAATGGTCTAGCAGGCCCAGAGTGGTCTAGCCAGAGTGGTCTGACAGCCCCCTCCCCCCACAGGGTGGCAGTCAGGGACCCCACCTAGCCCCACCACGGCAACAGGAGGAGACTGGCAGGACTAGGTTCTGAGTTGAACCAGGGCCTTGCTCCAGTTCTTATTCACGACATGTAACAGAGAGGTATTAAAAATGTACCCACCTTTGGGTCATTCAAAGAAATTGTGAACAGTGCACCAACCACTGGGCATGAGCACATGGACCTCTGGGAAGTGACGTTTGCTCCCAGGGCGGTCAGTCACTGAGAGAAGCAAAGAATTCTCCATCAACGTCTGTAAAGTCATTGCCTCCATATCCCGCGCTGCCATCCCTCCCTCCGGCCTCCCCAGTTTCTAGGGGCTTTCAAGGGGTGGGCGTCTATGCTGACAGGAGGCAACGTCCTCCTGTCTGTTCTCCAGCTGTTTCTTCCCACCTCCATCTGTTCCGCTTGCTCTCACAGCCCTGTGCTCTCTGCTCCTGGTGTTACCACTGCGGCGACAGCCTGGCTGCCACTGTCCCCAGGGCTGCCACTGCACTCCCTGCCCATGGGAGGTGGACCCGGACTCCACCTCATGACACTGCCTTCGGGGAGGCTTCTCCCATGTCCGAGGGCCTTTGTGGCAAGACACCCATGCTGGGGACGTCGATGTGTGGACTGGCGCCAAACCACTGTGGGCATGACAGCCGTGTACCTGCCTCACAAGGACAACTGGTGAAAAACAGAAAATGTGAAGAATGCAGATGCCCCACGGGGGGAGCGGCCGGGCCTGCACGGTAGCATCGGAGCCGATGGAAGGGCCCGGCCCTCCGCAGCCCTCAGAGACGCTGAGAGATAAGCGCTATTTTAAAAGATGAAGTCACGCCCTTGGCCACGGAGCGGCTGGGACTTGAGCGGGCGCTCGGCGCGGTCAGAAAGGGAGACAAGCCCCTGACGCTGGAGACAAGCTCACGCGGGATATGAAGAAAGAAAACAAACTGGCAAAACCCAACAAAAATAAGTCTTAGGCTTTGTGAAGAACGTGGAGGGAAGGAGAGGGTCGGGGGAAGAGGCCAGCGGGCAGCCCGATGCACCGGGGCGCTGGCGGGGGACATGGGACGATATGAACCTATTGGGGTGCGAGGCCGGACCCCGGAAATGACAGAGTTTTAGAGACAAACGGCGAATTCATACAATTTGATTTAAAAAATGTTGCACAGCTGAGGTTGCAGGTGCGGGCGGGGCGATGCGCCCCTGGGGCCGCAGCCCTGCGGAGGGGCAGGCGGCGGGGGGTGCTGAAGCTGGCATGAAGGCCGGATGCCCGGGGCAGCTTCGTCTCCTCCCCACGGGGCACACCCCTTCCTGCAGGTCCGCTTCACCTCAGACATCCGCCAGTGGAACTCGGAGCAGGGGAGCGGGAAAGCAGCCTGAGGCATCACCGGGGCCCCTGCTGCTTCCGGCCACCGGCCGCGGGACCCTCCGGCGCCAGGAAGCGGCTCCCACAGCAGGGCCCGCCTCGGTTCGCGTGGGCTCGTCGTTGTCTGGCTCTGGCCAGCTGCGGGCTCCCGGCGCCCTGCTCCCCTGCTGGCCCCTCTGCTCTGACCTCTGCAGTGCGGTGACCTCAGAGACCAGTCATGGCCTTGCAGGCCGGCACGCCCAGGAAGTGTCCCCCGCTGTGCTGAGTTGGGTTCAGAGCAAGAGGGAACCTTCCCAGGAGACACAGCGACGCCGCCCTCTGACCAGCACCCGGGGGCAAAGTGCACTCAGCGCTGTTCAGCCCCGCAGTGGCTGACCCAGGGCGAGGCTCTTCCCTAGCGGATGGGAAAGGCGAGGCGGCTCTGCCCTGGTCCAGCTCAGACCCCATGACCGGCCTGAGGGGGGCTGCAGCCATGAGGCCTGCACCCCTGGCCGTGCTGGGGGGCTGGGAGGAGCCGGGCTATGCTGGGGGGCCGGGGGGAACCTCCTGGCAATTTCCGGCCCTGGTCCTGGAGGGGGGGGTGGGAGACAGAGGGCAGCTGTGCCCGCGTGGGGTGTGACTCTGTCTGGGGACGCTGTTGGCCTTTGGTGGCCTGCACTCACCAAGCGTCGTTTCAGTCCTAGACCTACTGAGCACGTCCTCCACCAAAACGCTGCACTCGGTGGTCATCCTGACCCTGGCCCTCAGTCTGCTCACTTCGCTGCTGTGCTCCGGGTTCACCTTCTACAACAGCGTCAGCAACCCCTACCAGACGTTCCTGGGGCCCGTGGGGGTGTACACCTGGAGCGGCCTTGGCGGTGAGTAGCGGGAGCCCTGTGGGGTCAGCGAGCCCGTGGCGGTCCCTGCTGCTCTCCCGCGACCACGCAGGAGCCAGAGGGCCGGGCCTGCTCCTGGCGCACATGCTGGGGGCGGCGGCTGTTTTTGCAAATTGACAGCATTTGTTCAACATCTTGGGAAACACGGTTCAGGTGAAAGGCCCTGGTGAGGGGCCAGGAGTGGGGTGAGCAGGGGTGTTGGGTGTGAAACTATGTGACCCAAGCCAGTCTGCACGGAACGCCTGAAGTAAGAGTTAAACAGATCGCACGTGGTCAGCTAAACATCACCGGCTGCGGCGCGCGCCCGCCCGCGCCAGCTGAGGCTGCCCACGCCCTGTGCTCAGCTCAGGACGGATCCGAGGAGGCCAGGCCCCTGTGGATCAAAGAGGGATGCTTTTAAGACGCCACTGCTAACCACGGGCCCGGCCGGCAGACGGGCACCGGGCACCCCCACAAACCTGCACCGATGGTTGCATCGCACGCGGCGCCCAGGACGCGGTCGGGCTGGCCTCGCGCAGGCTCCCTCTCCTTCCCCTCTGCGCCTCAGCACCTGGGCTAAAACACACCAACCCCAACCTCGCCGACACCCACAGTGGGCAAGTGAACAGCCCCGTGGGGGGTGCCCTGCTCCCCCTCCACAGGCTGAGGGCCTTGGTGACAAGTTCAGAGTCACCCAAGGGCCTCCTTTGTCAGGACACGCCTGTGATCACCGTTGAGTCAAACAAGCCAAAGGCAGAGCAGCCCGCACTCACCGCCAGGGCTGAAAATTTAGGAATTCATTTTTGCTTGTGTAGTTAAAAAGTGAAAGGGAGTTCTGCTCCCTCCGTTGGAGCTCTGCTCTCTCTGGCCCTCTGCCCTCGGGGCTGGGCTGGTCCTCCTAAAGACGGGGTGTCTGCCAGCTGCTCTTGGCTCCTGGCAGATGGCGGCGACCCGGGAGCAAAGGCGCAGGTTCCAGGCAGAGGGAAATGCTGGCCCTGACGCCCCCTGCACTCGCCTCCTCCCCGGGCCCTGCCCCGGGGCCTGCAAGGGAGACGTCACAGGTGGGCCACCCGCTGGCTCAGGACACAGCACCCTGTGAGCAGGGGCTGGGCAGGGCCTCCCAGAGGAAAGTAAGACACTGGAGCCAGGGAGGACAGAGTGGGGGTGGGCGCGGCCCACACAGTGGGGCGCAGCCTCCAGAGCTCAAAGCCCATGGCCTCGGCTCAGGGAAACCCGGTTTCTGAGCAGCTGGAGTATCTGGCCTTCTCGCTCCGGAGTGGAGTAAGAGCCGACCTGCCCACGAGGCCGGTGCGTGCTTGGAGGAGCCCAGCGCAGGGCCCAGCCCCCCACCCGCCCACTGGCCGCCGCCGGCAACAGAGAACTGTTTGAGCAGAGCCGTGTGCTGCCACATTCCTCTCCAGCTGGGGCAAGCTCTGGCAGGAGAGGCCCTCGGGCGCGTGGGAGAGGAGCCGGGCCTTGGCGTGTCAGGCACTGGGGCCGGCTTAGCGCTGCCTCTGCTCTGCTCTGCCCCCTGCAGGTCCTCAAAGTCCCCGGATCCCCAGGCCTGTGCAGCCAGCGCGTGCCCTGAGCCTGCTCTGACGACTCCCTTCTCTCTCCCCACAGGCGCTTGGAGGCTGGAGTGAAACTCAGTTCAGATTTCCTGTACAGAGATGGGGTCTCTGAGGTGGGAGGGCTGGAGCCGGAGGGACGTGTCAGCCCTAAGTCTCAGCTGGGCTAGGCTGGAGCGAGCTCTCCTGGGCTGCAGGAAGAGGAAGCAGGTTCTCCAGTTTTCTAGACTGTTTCTGATGGGGATTCTTCTTTGAGGAGGAAAAAAAGGGCCACATCACCTGACTTCGCCCACTCCCCAGGCCTGGGGCCCCAGCCCACTCGGTGGGCACATCCTGGCCACCAGGAGCACTGTGACTAAAGAACATTGCAGTGGAAGGTTCTGGTAGGCTCACTCCATCACTTTGGTCCCTCAAGCAGAGAGGAGGCGGCAGGTCACACGGCCCTGTGGTCACTGGCCGGGGCAGCCGGCAGCGTGCTGAGCCCTAGGAGGCCCCCCGCCCCCCCGCGAAAGCCGGGTGCCAGGAAGTAGGAGACGCAGTTGGAGGCGTCTCCTTCCCAGAGGACTCGGTCAGCATCCCCAGCTCGCGTTGGCCCCTGTCCCGATGAATCAAAGTGAGGCACATCCCACTCTGGAGAAAAGGATTTAACCCTGTCCTCACCCTGCCTCTTATGACTAAGCTTTTATAGGCGACTTCACAGGGGCATAATGAAGGGTCATTAAGACGTGTGAGGCTTCCGAGGAGGGGGCTGCGCACGTACAAATTATGAAGAAATAAAACCATCACGCTGAGGATGAAAGTGGGTCTTCAGGGCCACCAAAGCCTCTCCTCACACAAAACCCTCTAATTAGAGCTGCTTGGAAAGTTCCCCCTTGCGTGTTGCAACGGGGCCTTGCCGGACGCCTCTGGGCAAAGGTCGGTGGGAGGAGGCCGCAGAGCGTCCGGAGGGACATCCGTCCCGGGGACCCCAAGGATGCCTCGCTGGGTCTGGCCCCGAGTGCTCATTTGGGGCTTGTGGCCTCCCCGCCCCTCCTTCTGCAGCAGGGCTTGGAGGTGACTCACGAACGGCCCGGTGCGCACCTCAGCCACGTTCCAGGGCACCTGGTGGGAATGAGAACATCACCATCACCTCCAAAAGGACCCGCGCTCCCTAGCAAGGCTGTCCCCCCTCGCAGCCCCCAGCCCAGCCCAGCCCAGCCCGCCTCCGGTCTGCTTTCTGTCTCTTTCACCTCTTGGGAAAGTGGACACCCTGCTTCAGAGAAGCTGCCATGTTCCCAGGCCTCATGGCTGGGCCCTGACCCTGTTCACTCAGATCCCAGAACCCTGTTCTCCAAACTGGGCCACGGTGGCTTCCAGCCCAGCAGAGGCGTGTCCGCTGGCAGGGGCATCGTGAGGAGAGAGAAAGGGGGAGAGAGGGAGCTTGAGAGTCTCTGCTCAGATGAGTTCCTGACTAATCGCTGTACCCCACGGTGCCCGGAATGAAGCTCCTGCGCTGGGGCAGTTGTCAGGACCCCAGGGCACCTCCTCTGTGCCCAGCGTGGGGTCCTCAGGAGCCTCCCCACCCTGGCAGGGCTCATCTGCCCGGCTCCCCGCCCTCTGGGTGTTCACCGCACGGCCCCTTCTGAAAGCTCGTCCCTCCTCGGCCTGCGTCTTCATCCAGCCGGCCCCGCAGACGACTTCCCGCGCCTCGTGCGCTCTCGTGCGCTCCCCACACCTGCCCGCAGGCCCCAGCTGGCTGCCCGATGGCTCCTTAGGGGCGTTGGGGGGCTGTGGGTCCCCCTGCTCCACGTCATCCTGGCGCTGAGGCCTGGAATCCGCCCGGGGTCTGTCACGTTCCCCCAGTGCTAAAGGAATGGTCAGCGCGTGCCCAGGCCACGTGTCCCGTAAAGTGGAAGGTGGCGTCGGAAACGTCACCGTATCACTCAGAGACTCTGTTTTCTCTCCAGCGTTCTTCACGCTGCTGACCATGATCCTGTTCGTGGCAAACACACAGTCCAACCGGCTCTCCGAAGCCCTGGTCGAGACGCTCTACTCGTTTTACCCGGCCTCCACCCACCGGGGCACCACCCACAGCTACGGGGTGTCCTTCTGGCTGCTGCTGCTCATCATCTGCCTGGACATAGGCGCCTCCGTCATCATCGTGTTCTACCAGAAGGCGCGACACCAGCGGAAGCAGGAGCAGAGGAAGCCCATGGAACACGCCCCCAGGGACGGGATTCTGTTCTGAGGGCGCAGCCGCGTCTCCCGCTGGGCCTGCTTCCCGCGCCTCTCTGGACAACCGGCGCAGAGCAGCCGGCCCGGGACTGTCCCTCTGATCCTCTTGTGTCCCGCCACACTGAGTTGCCGCTGCCCCCGACTCGGGATCTTCCACGAGGTGGGGAGATGCAGGGGAAGCGTCCAGTCCATGCACCAAAACCCCCAGAAGCGTGAGGGCCCGGCTCCTCTTCCCCACGCACGCTCGGCTGTCACAGAGGCCTCACCGGGAGAAGCCCAGGGCCCCTCAGTGCCTGCGCCTCGCCAGAGGGATGGCACCCAAAGGTGCTGGGAGCCGTCCAGGCACAGGGCCACCTAGATGCGTGTGGCCGACGCCAGGTGTTAGACGCCGCAGGTCGAGTGCCCGACCTGGCCCAACAACAGGCCCGGCTGTGGACGCAGCTCTCACCTGGCGTGTCCGCAGCTGACTCCTCTCTGAGGGTCCAAGGTGAGGCTTGTTGTTGTTTTTTCCATAGGGAAGAGATTAGAAAGTGAGAAGACAGTGGAAGCTTAAAAATTAGACCCCTAGGCCTAGCTACCGAGGAAGATGAATCTACTTTTGTTTTAAAAGAACTGTGGTGCATTCAGGCAAAATGGAAAAGTAACCTGAGCAATGGCCCTATCTCCAGCCCGTGCTCTGGGCCGCGGACACGGGTGACCTTAGCCAGGAGGGCGTGTCCCTCCGGGCACGTCTGACCAGCTGGTGGCTGAGGAAGAGATGGCTAGAGCCCCCTGATCGGGGGTCCCCAAGCCCAAGGCGGATATGGGGCACAGGCTGGGCGCCCTCGAAGAACAGAGGCCTGATGCTGGGCTCTCGGTCTCGCGAGAAAACCACGGGCCACCTGGGAAACCAGGGGAGGTGCCAGAGTAGATCCAGCCAACTCTGATGGGTGGGATGTCCTTCCGGGGCGCCGTCACCCCACAGTGAAGCAGGCTGGACACGGAGGTCATCCCGGCCAGGCCTGGACGCAGGGCGCAGAATCCTCTGTGAGCCGTGGCGGGCAGCAGCGTCGTGGGCAGAGAGCAGCCGCAGGATCCTGCCAGACCCTCGCAGCCCCTTCTCACCTGTCCTGTTGCGATGGTCCGCTCAGAATCGATGTTTCCAGGCAAGAACGACTGGCTTCTGTCGCCTGACTGGCGCTGCGCCCTGGGGGCTGACTGGCCCGCTGCCAGGGCAGACGTTGAAAAAGCAGTTACTAAATTTCATGAGGGGGTGTCCCGCTGCACACGTGTCCACTCTCTGACAGGCCAGCTCTCTACAGCCTCCCCTGAAGTCCTATAAGTCAATGTTTCCCTAGAAATTAACTTATTTGACATTTTGAACACATTAAAAATCTGATTCTCACATTTTTCTAAATTCTTTCAGCTAAAAACATGTGTGATCTGTGTTACTTTATCTTCTTGTAACAATGTTTCGGGACCACAAAGGGGGTGGCCACGTCCCGGGTTCTCTTTCACCGGGAAAACCCCTCATCGGTCCAGCGCTGGCTTCAGAACAGCCTGCCCCTGCCCCCACCCTGTCCCCCCAAGGAATAACCGCGCAGCTTTAATGGGATGCTCAGGCTTCTTCTCCTTTGAAGGCTTGACTTCTACGTCAGAATTTGGTCCTGATGTGGACAAGTCTCAAGTAATGAAGAGGAAGCCGATGAGGCAGCGAACCCACACAGGAGGCTGTGACTAGGAAGGGCGCCCCGTGGCCTCGGGCGACGCGTGCTGGGAGTGGGGGGCTGTGCTTCCCGCCTGGCATCTGGGCTTTCTTCAGGGCATAGACTGGCTTAATCTGTGTCTCACAGATAACCCTGCAGGAAACAGCTCAACAGAAATCAGATGCATGAAACCACTTTCCACCTTTCGGAGGAGAAGGGCGCCTCCCGGCAGGTGTCTGCAGGCGGAGAAGCCACACGCGTGTGCTCAGCAGAAACCAAGCAGGAAAGGCTCGCGGACGAGCGCCAAGCACAGGCACCGCCCAGGGTCCGCCTCCCCACCCACAGATGTGTCTTCAGTTAGTGCCTGAGGGGCGTGACGTTTAATTTTTGTAAGGAAAAAAAATGCTGCTGAGTAGTAGTTTGCTGTTCCAAACCTCCTGGATAAAACTGTATTGTCTTTGCTGGAAGGGAATTCCATGACGTTGAAGGGACCCGAACTATTCTATGAAATTACAAAGTTTTAGGGGGCACAGTCTGACCGCAAATGAACCCAGTGGTGCTGTTAGAAGAGCTGGGTTACGAGATCCCCCCATATCTGCACGATAAATGAACCACGCACGGCGCCGTGCTCTCCCACGGTGCGAGGACATGTGGTTGGGGAGGGCAGTCTCGGGGAAATCCGTCCTTGACACGAGCACCCAAGTGCTCAGACTCCCCGGCCAGCAGGTGCTCACAAAGCCCCGAGGGAGGCCGGCTCCCCCTCCGGGAGCTTCGCAGGGCTCCTGTGTTTCCATTGCTCACCCTGGAGGAGGCAGGGCAGGGAGGCGGTCCCCCCGTGCCACCTCTCAGGCTCTGAACAGCCACCCTGCTGCCCACAGGTCAGCCTCCTGCCCTCTGAGGCCACTGGGCCCCTGGGATGCCACAAAGGCTCTGCACCCCACCATGGTCCACGGCCCCCCCTTTCTCATTCACTGAAACCAGCCCTACGCGCAGCCGTGGAGCCCGCCTCTTCTCCCCTAGCCCGCTCCGCCTGCGGCCTGGGCGGGAAGGCAGGTGTGGAGGGGGCAGGGCTGGCTCAGAGGCGGGAGCCCTTGTGGTTCTGAAATTCCAAGCAGGAGACAAGATGGGGCCCCTGGCATCAGCCCTTCGGGGGCTCCCAACCCGGGACCCAGGCGCCTGGGGTGTGGAAGCCCGAGGCGGCCACAGCAGTGGGCGGGGTTCTGCTTCTGCTCTGTCCTCGTCCTGCCCCTCGGCCCCCCACACCCCACGCCAGGGCTTAGGGACACAGCGGGGGGCTCTCTGACATCTACCGTCAGCTGTGAGGAAGGCACAGCGCCGCCCCCCAGCTTCTGCTTTCCCATAACTGACAAATAAAGAACAAATAACAGAAAGGACCTTCCGTGCAGCATCGAGTAGGATCTTCTGCTGGGGCTGCCGGGGGGAGAAGAGACTCCATCTCCACCCACGGAGCCCGCCCCGACGGCGCGGGAGGGGCCGCCGCGCCAGCGTGAGTCAAGGATCAGCCTTGGCCTTGGCCAGGGGGGTCCAGGATTAGCGCCGGAGCGCCGGGCTCCCCAGGGTGCAGAGCGCTGCGGGGTCCAGGCGGGACCAGCTGCACGCCCCGGCCGGCCGCGGCAACCGCTCGCCCTGCGGACCCGCCGGCAGCCGAGATCCTTAAACCGGGAGGTGAATGACCGCCCGGGCGCCTGAGGCCGGCCAGGGGCAGAGCGGAATGGGAAGCAGGGCCGGGTGCTTGCCCTCCCTAGTGGCCACGTGCTGCAAGCTGCTGCCGCTGCGCTGAGGGTGGAGGCCGCGGGCGGGACTGGGGACCAAAGGCCGGAGGTCCTTGCTCCTGGGCTCTGCGGGCCGGAGCCGCCTCCTTCTTGCCCATCGCACCTGTGGGCCTCGCTGAGCACGGCCCTCACCTGGGCCTCACGGCGGCCCGCACAGGCAAAGGCAAACCCAGTGTCTCAAATAATCCCTCAGCCGGGCCCGGTGGGGTCTCCCGGACACGGGGCTCCCACAGCCAACGGGCGCAGCAGAGCCTGTGGCCAAAGGTCTTGTGCTCAAGATCGAAAGCAAAACGGCTCACGCAGGTGGCGGGTCCCTGGCGCCTGGGCAGTGCCTGAGGAGACACAGTAGGGCCTGCCCCGCCCCGCCCCACCGCACCCCCGAGCGGGTGGGAAAAGGACCACCCTTCCCAGACGCACATGTGCGCTTTGCACTAGATGTTCAACCTCTCACGCACGGCGGGGAGCCCGGGGGGTCGCGCCGCCCGCTCGAGGTACGAGATGGTGCTGCCGGCTGGGCTGGCGGAGAGTTGTGGTGCGGAGGGAGGCCGGGGCTCCGTTCCTCCCAGCCGAGCTGCATTTGCCGCATCCTGAGCCTCTGACCCACCTCTCCCCACTGTGACTCGAAGGAGTCTGCGGCGTACACAGGACGGCGAACAAGTTCTAGTTCAAAAAAAAAAAAAAACCAGGTGTTTGCGCAGGTGATGGTTTCAGACCAGAAAGCTTCATTTTCAAACCATCCAACTGCTTAGTAAAACACGGAACTGGAGGTGGGGTGTAGCCGCAGCTGTTCACTTTAAACCAACTACTTTGAAAACGAGCACATCCCCTGGGCCTCCCTGGTGGCCTAGGGTTAGTCTCAGCGCTGTCACTGCTACGGCCTGAGTTCCAGCCCCGGCCAGGGAGCTACCCACACGGCGCAGCAGACCCCTCCTGACTCCCCGCTGCTCCCCTCAGCAGTGGATTTCAGTGGATCTGCCTGCTCTGCTCCCCGCTCTGTCTCTGGGGAATCCTCTCACAACCCCCCACCTCAGGCCTGCACCCCAGTTCTTGTATGCATAAATAAATAAATCTTTAAAAAAAAAAAAGAAAGAAAACGAGCATACCCCATGCCCCTCCGGCCCCCTGCAAGGCAGATTTTTCTTCTGTTAGAGAATGAAGCGCCTCGGTACTGACCACCCCTGTCCCCAGCCCCTGCCCATGCCCACCCTGGCATCACAAACTGCTCAGAGGGTCTGTGACAACGCCCTGACGGAGCCCAGGGCGGCCTCCCCTTAGGCCCTCCTGCCCAGCGGTGCCCGGAGGCGGGAGCAGTGGCGATTCCCAGCCTGGACCCTAGTGTGAGGCTCCGTCCCCGCCATGGGGCCCGCCAGGCAGGACTTAGCTCCCCGCTGCCCGTGGCCAGTGGCTGCACTCAGCGGGCCGGAGGGCCCCACGACCTTGCCGGCCACATGCACTGCGGCTCAGGTTGGGCTCCGCGTGCGAGCTGCCCGCGGCGCTCCACATGGGGACTCCACTGCCCCTGACGGCCGAGCGGGGCCGGCTTCATCAGCCCCGCTTTGGAGACCAGACCCGCGAAGTCCAAGCGCGCGCCCTGGAAGGGGAGGCTGAGCGCAGAGGCCAGGCAGCCGCGGCCCTGATGGCCCTGCGGGCACGTGATGGGGCCACAGCCTTAGGAGGCGTCATGTGTGAGAGAGTGTGTGTGCACAGCGTGCATGGGTGTGTGTGTGAGTGTGAGCGTGTACGTGAGTGTGTGTGTGTGTGTGAATACAAAAGCCTGTAAAAATATCTCAAGTCTCAAGCGCACACCCAGGACC